ACTGCTATACCAAATTAAAAAGTACAACCAAGTGGTACTACCTTTAAAATGACACATATTTATTTAATAAACGGAAAGCAACCATTATTAAAGAAAACTGCTATACCAAATTATTAAAAAGTACCTAAGTGCTACTATCTATAAATGACGTATTTATTTATTAAGTGGCACTATCCTTATTATTTACTTATTATTTATTTATTTTGAATATTTCATTTGTATAAAAGATTTGATATTAACAACAGGCGCCAAGATAAATTTTATCAAATTAAAATGTAAAACCTAAATGGTACTATCTTTATCAAGTTAAATTCTACCAAATTAAAAAATAAAAACCAAGTTATACTATCTTTGTTATTTTTATTTAACTCTAATATGTCATGTGTATAAAAGATTTGATATCAACAACAGGCGCCAAGTTATTTATTTATTAATTTTAATGATATCTATTATAAAATTTATAAATTAGTTAACTCTAATGATATGTATCATGTGTATAAAAGGCTACCCCCCAAATTAGAAAGTAAAACCCAAGTGGTACTACTTTTATTATTATTTTTACTTAACTTTAATGATATGTATTATGCGTATAAAAGATTTGATATCAACAACTGGCGCCAAGTTAAATTTCACAAAATTGTATGTATTCGTATGAAAGGTTTGATATCAGCAACTAGCGCAAAGTTGAATCCTATAAAATTTTATAAATTAATTAAATTCTACCAAAAAGTAAAACCCAAATGGTACTAACTTTAGAAATCTTAATGATACTATTCTTATTACTTATTTATTATTTATTTAATTTTAACATGTATCATTTGTATGAAAAAACTTATGTGATGTACTATCTTTAAAAACCCAAATGGTATCACATTAGTGGTATCATATTAGTGGTATCACAATATCACATTTTTATTAAGGACGAAGTAGTACAAAATAAGAAAATTTTATTAAAATAATAATATTTGTTACGTGAAAAAGCTTAGCGCTGCTAGACCTCAAATTATAATAAACTATTTATTAATATAATTCTAAATAATTAACATTGAAATCACAGTTACAACTATAATTAATAACATTAAAATTACAATCATAATTACAACTATAATTAATAGAATTACAATTACAATCACGGTTACAACTATAATTAAAATTACAATCACAAAATCTTAAAAGTATAATTAAATTTTTAACCTATCTTTAAATCTATCTTAAATCTATAGTAGGTATAGTAGGCCGGTTCTAATCCATGGGGCTAGAGGGGAGCGCGGGGTGCGGGAGATACTCGTAGGCGAGAGGAAGCGTAGCGCGGGGATTCTTCGGTGGTGGGGATATGACGTCATGGGGAATGGCAGTAAGATTTTGGGGACTGCAGTCATGTACAAGACAACAAAAAAAACATCACAAAAAAAAGAAAATATTGTCATGAACAAAAAACAATACAAAAAATAAACAGTTATAGAACGAAAAGTGTTACAAAGGGTATATGTTCCAACCGTTTTTCGACCAAGATATAGCGTAATGTAATTTTTCTATAGAAACAATATTTATTAATTATTTTAAATACCTAAATACAACCAAGTTTCATAATTATTGAAAGTAGGTATAGTAGGCGAGTTCTAATTCTATGTGGCTAGAGCGCGGAGAAGGTCCCCCGGTCGCTGCTGCGACCACCCCAAAAATGCATTGCGGGCCGCCGCCGCCGCTGCCGCCGTGGGCCGCTGCCACTCACCCATAAAGGTACGAGAATCTCTTTTTCCTTTTGTCTTTTTATAACTTAGTTTTCACAATACGCTGTGTTCTTTTCTTTTTCTTTTACTAGGGCAAAGAATGGGTAGTAAAAGGAAGTACATATACATAATGATGCGAACGAATTTATTTTTATTCACATCTTATTACACCGATTTTTCTTATTTTATAATATTCTTTTGCGATCAGCAGCGTTCGAACACGATC